TCAGCATATTAGAAGGATTTCTGAAGGATCATGTGTCACTGAAGACTGGAGTAATGATGCTGAAAATTCAGCTTTGCATCACAGGAATAAATTACATTTGAAAATATACTAAAACAAAACAGTTATTTTAAATGGTAATAATTCACAATATTACTGTTTTTATTGTTTTTTTAATAAAAAAATGCAGCCTAGGTGAGGAGACTTCGGTCATAAACTTTAAAAACTTTGCCGACCTCAAACTTTTGACTGGTAGTTAAAGACAATTCGTCTCTCATATATTAAAAAGTTCGGTTACAGTTTTTTAAATTTGCTTTGGTACCATTTTCACAAGTAAGGTGTATATTTTCAAAACTCTTAGTACAAAAATCCAAATTGATCGCTAGTCATTCTTTTAAAAACTGATCTCATGCTTGGGCTGTACCAGCTGCATACACTCCTGCATATTTTTCTGCTGTAATTTTAGCAGCTCCTAGGGAGAGAGAAGTACCATATTAATGCCATTTCAGTATATTCACATCACATAATATCAATACTTCCATCAATTTTTGCCCTTTTGTTCAGTGTATTTTATCCTTTATAACCATGTTAATTTAGTTTTCCTTATTCGCTTTGGCTCTATTTTCACAAGCAACTGTTCAATTTTCAAAACTCTTAGTACTAATATCAGATCATCAAAAGTGCACTTTTTTCAAACATTTCAGCATATTTTCACTTGTCTTAGTACAATACACACAATCATTTGGTGCATCTATATATATAGATTCAATAGATATAGTTCCTAAATAACTTGTTTGCAATTTAGGGATAACCAAATGTATTACTTGTGAAAATAGCACCACAGCGAATTAAAAAAAACAACTGTAAATCCTGCAAATTTTGGCAATCCAGCATATAATAGTATAAATGTTACTATTTTAATAAAATAATTTGATATTATTAATTTGGAGCAACATAAGGTTGAGTAAATGATGACCAACATGCTTTGTCTGAAATAAAAACATACATTTTCTAGGTTTCTGTTCTTTTGATGCATTGAATCCATGTCCCGCTGACAGGCTTGCTTGACTTCATCTATTTTGCCGTCCATTCGCATTTTCTCTTCTTCTTTCCATATTTCCAGTTGTCTCTTAAACTCTTCCTGCCTTTGAATGAGCTCTTTCTCCTGGAGAAAAAATGAGTTTGAAATACTTATTTCAAATAGCAAATCATTCTATTAAAAACATGGTGTGTCTTTTATCTCCTCTAACCTGTTTAGCAGTGTAGTCTTTCTGCTGTGTCTCCATTTGGGATGTGACCAGGGTCAGCTGCTCTTGTAGTTTATTGATCTCCTCTTGTAACTTCATGGTCTGAATTTTTTTCTGATTATCTGTCATCATCAGTTCTGGGAAAATGAGATGCTTGAATCACCCTTGTGAAAAAGAAGTGCGCCTAATTGTATTGCATGAGCACTTGTAGAAATCTTACAAGTATATTTTTAAAAAATTGTCCATGTAGATAATACTGTATAATACTTATTAAATAAAAGGCCAGTTAAATGTACTTAGAGTACACTTTCAAGTGAACACACTTAAGTACACTTTTAAAAAGCGCACTTTGTAATGATGAAAAAAAAACGTTGTTAAATCATGTTGTAATATTTTGTCATGCTTTATAGAAGTACACTTATTTTGAAGTGTGGACTAACATACTAAAGCACATGTAAAGTACTAGATTATAATTTTAACTGTAGTATTATATAATTTTAAAATTTAAAGTTGATATATTTTAAGTGTACTAAATAACTTTATCATTACAAATGTGTAATTTCAAATATATTTAAATATAACAAGTACCAATAGAAACGACAATAAAGTATATTTTAGTTTACCATAAATACTTGTCAGTACATTTAGCTGTACAATTTAACCAAAGAAGCAATTATAAAATTACATATAAAGATGTACTTACAGTCTACTGTATATAGTCTACTTCTATAGTATATATAGTAGGTCAAAAACACTCTAAAGTTCAGCTTATTGCATTTAATATAAATGTATTTATTACAAATAGTAATGATAAATTATACTACAGTATATATGCATTATAAAAAAACTAACACATTTGCATTTAATTACAATTAACATGCAGTTAAGAGTCTGAAAACATTACATTAAGTTTGCATTCTTTTAGAGCATGCTATTTCCATAAATCCTTATTAAAGTTATGCCAAAGTGTACTTCTCCACAAGGGCAAGCAAAATACAACAGACACACATTGTGAACTGATTCTACACAGTTTGAACTCACTGATGTCAAACTCCGTAGGATGTCTGCGCTGCATGTGACTTTGCAGGAAAGAGGCATTCATGAAGGCTTTCTCACAGTGTTGGCACTGAAAAGCAAACAAAACCAGGAGCTTTATTAATATCTGTGACATCATCAAATCTGTGAAGATAAATACTGATGACTTTTTCTTAGGTGCCTTGCTTCTTTTGTATTATTTCATTGAAATAAGAAAGTCATATAGGTATGTGAGGGTGAGAAAACGATGACAGAATTTTTTTTTTGAGTGAACCAATTTCTTTAACGGTAATGAAACCAAGTGGGTTGAAAAAAGCAAATGTGCCTCAGGTGACGAGCAGGTGTTTGTGCAGCTCAACACAGCTGTCACTCACACTCCACTCACCAATAATACCAAGAGACAATGTGGGCACGTTGCCATGGAAACACCGGTTAGTGCAGGGCTGATGTTACATCTTTTCCCCGCTCTGTCTCTTGGATATGCGGAAAATCCACAGCGCTGCACATCATACACCACATTTAGCAGCCAAAACACCCGTCTGGTACTCTCATGCAAATTTAACCACACTGCCACTGATACCCATCACATACAGACGCTCTGCATTTGTCTTTTTATCTGCAACAAGACAGGGAAGGCTGTCTCTGTAAAACACCCACTGTGTGACATAACTGCATTGCTGCACTAACATAACTTCCCAAATCAACTGTGAAATGCAATTATGTGTTTAGGGTCCACTGGTGCCAATCTGCAGCCTCAGCAGGTGTTGAACAAAGACCAAGACAATGTAATACAGAACTGGAGCAGACTCTAGAAAACTGTAAAAATATATATCTGGGTCCAATTTCACCTCAAAGTCAAAGGAAAAATATATTTTTCAAAGAGAAAATGAAGGATATTTTCAGAACAAGGTTTTTTTATACACGTTTAAAACACCCTCATGCAGTCACAAACTATTATGTGAAAAAAAAAAGAATTTTCATAATTGTACGTTTATATTATGGTAGTACTCGTTGTACTGTTTTGTATTTACGCTGATTTTATTTGAATAAAAAATCATTTAAATAAAAAAACATTATTTTGTCTGAAGAGGATTTGAATCTGTATTACAGTAATAATATCAAGTTTTGTTGCGAATTTATATTATACGAAATTATATATAGAAATTTTATTTTGCTTAAATAATATTTTTCCCAATTTTGACATTTTCATGACATTTCCCCCTCGATTCTCTCAATTCATATGCAAAAATATCTCACTCTCTTTACTGTAATACAAAATAATTAGACATTTAATATATATTTAAATGCTGTTTTTGCATTGTGTAATATTTGTTGCACTGCCTTTAGCCTTTGCCTTTAATTTATGCACATTTAAATAAAATAAATATATATATCAGTAAACAAAAGAGAACCATTACAAAAATTCTGGCGGAAATGTCACTATAATATGTGACCCTGGACCACAAACCCAGTCATAGGGTACATTTATTTAAATTGAGATGTATACATCTCAAAGCTGAATAAGTAAGCTTTCCGTTGATGTATGGTTTGTTAGGATAGGACGATATTTGGCAGAGATACAACTATTTGAAAATCTGGAATCTGAGGGTGCAAAAAAAATAAAAATATTGAGAAAATTACCTTTGGAAAGTTGTCCAAATGAAGTTCTTAGCAATGCATATTACTAATCAAAAATTAAGTTTTGATATTTACAGTAGGAAACTTACAAAATATCTTCATGGAACATGATCTTTACTTAATGTCCTAATGATTTTTGGCATAAAAGAAAAATCAATAATTTTGACCCATACAATGTATTTTTGGCTATTGCTACAAATATACCCTAGCGACTTAAGACTGGTTTTGTGCTCCAGGGTCACATATCACAATGCAAAACAATCTTACTGGTACTTAAAATAGGCCTCATTGTATTTATGCAAAATACAAATTCTTATTTTTTTATATTTTAGGGGAAAATTCGACAGCTCCAGCTACACTGGAATCTGAGGGTGCAAAAAAAATAAAAATATTGAGAAAATCACCTTTGGACAGTTGTCCAAATGAAGTTCTTAGCAATGCATATTACTAATCAAAAATTAAGTTTTGATATTTACAGTAGGAAACTTACAAAATATCTTCATGGAACATGATCTTTACTTAATGTCCTAATGATTTTTGGCATAAAAGAAAAATCAATAATTTTGACCCATACAATGTATTTTTGGCTATTGCTACAAATATACCCTAGCGACTTAAGACTGGTTTTGTGCTCCAGGGTCACATATCACAATGCAAAACAATCTTACTGGTACTTAAAATAGGCCTCATTGTATTTATGCAAAATACAAATTCTTATTTTTTTATATTTTAGGGGAAAATTCGACAGCTCCAGCTACATTTAGGTAACCACTTCATTGCTCACAGTTAAAAAAAAAACACTTGATCCAGTAAACCATTAAACAGTAAACCATGAGCAGCACTTTCATTTCGATTCTGCTGTCAGGCGCCTGTGCTTCTCCTAGCAACCACATGAAACACTTGGCAACAGCTGGCCGCAATCAGGAGCGACAGTTCCATGATTGCAAATGAGCAAACAGCTGATATAGCCATGGTACAAAGACCGAAATGTTTCTAAAAGCAATGCAGCATGCGGTTTTATTTCATTGATGAGATGAGTGGGAGGGGATGATGGGGGTTGGGCGCTTTGATTTCTTTCCTCCACTTGAGGCTCTTTTATAAGTGTAGTGTAGTTTATAAGTCATTGTCACCAGCTGACACCATCTGCTCCATTCGCCAAATCCTGAATGCCGTGTCCAAAAAACACAGCGTCTGGTGATTAGATAATCCTGTCCCGGCCTGCAGGCTTGATTATGGACTTAAAAGTGTTGACATCACATCTAGTAGATAAGAAAAGAGCATACTAGACTAGTGATGGTAATGCACATACTTTTAAAGACGCCATGAAATCAAAATTGGTAGTTTTCTAGCTTTTAGTCCATGTCTGTTAGCTTTTTTTCTTCATGCAAAAATACTGATAAAGATTTTTTTTTTGGTACAGATATATGCATTTTAGTATTAGTTACATATTACTATTGTATTTATTTATATTTTGGATGAGATATTTTTAGATTTAAACATTTTTATTAAAAATTTTTTTTTTTTTTGTAATTTTATGTGCTTTCAATTTTTATTAGTTTTTTTTTTAAATATATTTTTTATTTAGATTTAATTTAATTTTGAGTCATTTTAGTACTTAAAAGGACTTAACTTAAAATGATTTTATTTCAGCTCATTGCCAGTGCATTTCTAATTTCCGTTTCAGTTTATGTTTCTCATCTAATATTAATGTTTTATTTCAGCTTTATCTCAATTAACAAAAATGAAAAAAAAAAAAAAAAAAGATTTTAACAATAACTAACACTGATCAGAGGATAGTATGCGAATTGGGATTCAGCATTAATGTTGCACCTTCGCACCATCAAATGTGAGAAAAGCACACGTTACATTCACCGGGGTCAATGAACTGTGAGACTGGGGTGGAATAGAGTCTGGCCTTGAGGGGGGAGGTGACAGCGACAATGAAAATGCTAATACACATATTCACACTCCACCACGGGGCTGTACAGACCTTGTGGTAATTGGCACTGATTCCCGTGCTGAACATGGCTTGCTGAGAGGCTATGATCTTCTTCCTCTGCTTCAGCTCCTCCTTTAACGTCGTGGCATCCTGGGTTTTTTTCTGCAGCTGGATGCAGAGCTGCTCCCTTTCCCGTGTCTGCGCCTGCAGCCTCTCCTCGGCCGCCTGCAGGCTGATGCTGAGGCAATCCTGGGAGTGCAGCAGGTACTCCACGGTTAGCTGGGCCAGCCGGAAGAGCTTAATCAGGGCCGGGTCCACGGGGCTCTGACAGCGGTGGCAGCGCTCGCCCTCCACGTCGCAGAACGTCACCTCCGTGATGTGCTCCTGTAGGGTGTGGAAGTCCAATTCGGAAGCCACCCGGTCCACCTCGACGGCACTGATCCGACGCCAGTCCACATTCTCACGCCGGGCTCGGAACTTGAAGGGCGTAGGGATGCCGGTGCTGGTGGCGGCTCCGGAGGACGTAAGCGGTCCCATGGTGGATGCGGCCGGTCTGCTCAGGCTGCCGGATGAGGGCTGACTCTGCGGAGAGCTCAACAGAGATGGGATTCCTGCTGAGGAATGGGTTCCCGGGGGATCTGACGGGTACGGGTAGTAAACGTTGTCATAAAATGGCTGCAGGGGGAAACAAAGAGCTAGGTGAATTCTTCAAAAAAGAGACATGTATTCCAGCAATGTGACATTTAATTAATAAAGGCCACACATAAAAACATTCCTGATTGATTCCACCACTGCAAGCTAATCGTTACCAGCTAACAGCAACAACACAGGTCCACATGGCTACAAGGGTTCATTAAACAGGTTAAATGCACGAATAAAACGAGTAAATCGTCGATGTATGATAAATTCCACCTTGTTTTGCTGATTCGTGCTGTCGCTTGTCTCCTTACCATCTTGCGGTTTTTGTGAAGTCTTGATGAATGATCGGAGCGGCGCGCAGCACAGCAGTATCAGGGCATCCTGTGCGTTTCTATGGAAACAAGAGCGCGTGTCCCAGTTTGCACAGCACACTGCACGAGAACAGAAAGGAAGAGCATGTGCACGTTAAAGGTCTTTTACATTTCACCTGTTATTTGTCACTCAAGAAGACAGATCGTTTTTATCACGTGGCACTTCATAAAATTGACTGTCCTTTATTTGATCTTGAACAATGTTCTATAAAAATATAAGGATATAACGTTACTCCTAATCATCAGATTACACTTTATTTCAAAAATGCATTATGCCAAAATAGTCACTTCTCATACAAGGTGCATATTTCTTGTTCATGACTACATTTGAAAACTATTTAAAACGACTGGAACGTGAATATATGTTTGCTTTAATCCAGCTATATAAATACTTTAAAGAAAACAAAACTTATTTCTGCATTGTGAACTAATTTCATGACAGTTTTTATTTATATCGGCATTGAATTAAATGTAGTGAAACGCCATATATTTATTTTATTTAGTCATTTATCAGACGCTTTTATCCAAAGCGACTTACAAATGAGGACAACAGAAGCAATCGATTGTAGTATTAAAACAACTAAACACAGATCCAAAACTAAAAGCTGAAACTTTATAAATACTACCTATACACATTTGAAAAATAAAGAGATTAAATAAAACAAAACAAAATTTCAAAACTTAACATTTAAATGAAAAACAAAAAAATAAAGCTAAAAACAATCCAAAATATCAAAGAACAAAAGGTATAAGAGTATAATAATGATTCTAACATAACACTAAGCCAAACACCAAAAAAACAACAACTACATATGTGTATGTACAACCACACACACACACACACATATATACTGTATATGTACATACACATTTATAAATTCAATATATATATTATTTCATTTCCATTTAGTTTGTTGAAGTATTAAAATAACTCAAATTAAATAAAACTAATTTAGACATAATAAATTCAGACATAATGCAACTAAAATTAAAATAAATAACAAATACAAATAATACAAATCAAACGACAGTAGTTTATCAGTAATCCTAAAAAATAACACTGCCAAACACACATGCTAAAAAACAACAACTTACTTACACTAATGCTTATAAAAAAATACTGGCATATACTACGTCATTTAAAAAAAAATAAAAATAATAATTCCAACAATTAAATGATTTTTTAAGGTGATTCAAATTTGGTAGGTTTAATTTCACAATGCAACAAAAAAATGTAATATCTTTTAGATAAATATTAATATCTTCATTAGCTTAAATAGGTTTCACTGCCTTCATGGAAAATATAAAACGTATTTGTTTATTTTTCATTTGATCTCAAAGTGAAATGTGACCTGAAAGACTTATTTTCATGAGTTTTGACCATTTTCTTTTACACAGACTGAACTCGAACGTCTCTCTTGAGCATTTCTACAGTCTTCTTCTCAGATTACGGGCCCTTCAACACATCTCAAGTTGGGACAAGCTCAGTTCCGAACAAAAGGGGGACTCGTGCATGAGAACGGTACAGAGGGAAAAGTCTCAATATCAATTCAATAAAACGGAGAGAGTGATAAATATAACATGAAGTTCGCTTTCAGCCATTTTCACAGCAAACCAAAAAGTTTTAGCGACTCACCCATCGGCCGGAGTAACGGGAAGGACAGATCAATGGCTCTTACCTCTCGGTGAAGAAGTTTTCGCAAACAGTCCATGCAGAAGAAGGTCAAAAGCTGGCCATCCGCTGCGCTGCGAAGCATACAGACGCTACACGGCTGCGGGAAACTTTAACACCGGCAGACGCAAGCCCAACGCAATGATTCCCCCAAAAGTGTGAGAGCCAGAGCGCCGTGACGTCACAGCGCATTCCTGGCGCGAGCCTCATCTCATCTCTGGGGCCCGAGGAGGGGGAAGGGCGTGCGTCCCACAGGAACATCCACAGGCCCCACAATAAACCTGCTGCGGCCCTAAATCAGAACTTTTATTGACTACCAGATAATTAGAAATATTCTCATGCAATTCAACTTTATTCATACCTGATTATTTCCACAATAATAAGAAAACAAATGATGCCTAAAAGGAACTTAAAGGCACAACATTGTGTCGCATACCAATGACGTCATGACCCCTCGATTTCTGGTTTTGTTTTGTAGAAAACATGGGCTGTGTCCGAAATCGCCCCCTATACCCTCATTCACTATTCCCTACATTAGGTCACTAATTCAGTTCACTAGAATGAGTGAATGAACGAATGAACACTGAGTGCACCGGAAGGAATGCCACTTTTGCATAGTTTGTGCTTGCTGTTTATTAATCATTTGAAACTAGCAAACTAGCAGCTCCAGTAGTAAGATTAAAGGATTTATCTTGAACTCTGTCATGGAAATGATGTATAAACCCTAATCAAACAATTGGTAACACTTTACAATAAGGTTCATTAGTTAAACATTAGTTAATGTATAAACTAACATGAACTAACCATGAGCAATACATTTGTTACTGTATTTACTAATCTTCACTAACGTTAGTTAATAAAAATACAGATGTTCATTGTTAGTTCATGTTAGTTCACAGTGCATTAACTAATGTTAACAAGATTTTAATAATGTGTTAGTAAATGTTGAAATTAACATTAACAAAGATTAATAAACGCTGTATAAGTGCAGTTCATTATTAGTTCATGTTAACTAATGTAGTTAACTAATGAACCTTATTGTAAAGTGTTACCAAACAATTTAATAATCAATTTACAATGAATTTATACCCGTGTTGTACGTTATGCTGTACGCCGTGGATGAGCGCTTTGTAAAAATGAACGGATTGATTATTCAGCTGAGGGCGCCAACTTCTGGCGAGATGCGGGAATTCATTCGGCGTGTGACTCTGACGGTGCATTATGGGCATTTTCTAGCCGTTGAGTGCACCAGTTGTACACTCGTTTTTGAAGTGCATTGTGGGATTGAATGCACTCGAGAACGTCCACTATGGTTTCGGACACCACTAAAAATGGCTGTTCCCTCAAATAGTGCCCTATTTAAGGGTATAGGGGGCGATTTCGGACACAGCCATGGAAACACCAAAGACGCTTTAATATGTTGTGCGCTTTAATACACCGGTGACGATCGCACAGAGTAGCATTATAACAGAACTTTCAAACGTATCTAGTATGATAAAACAGCGCTGCTTTACCCCACATACGCACGACCAGAAGGAGCGGAAGCGGTCGACTGTGGCATAATAAAAGCTCCGCTGCTTTCGAGCCGTGTGTCACACTCATTCAGCGGCCTCGCTTCGCTTCGACGGCTTTCAACCTCACCCTGCTTCATTCTACTACGTTAACAAATCATTAGCTCATCCATGAACATGATTTCTGCCCGAGTCCCGTCAGATTGCATCGGCTGTGGGGATGAAGACCACAACTCCCATGATTCCACACTCAGTCGCAGCGTCATCAAACTACGCCTTTGTTTCTTTGTTTATTTTGAATAGGCGCCCTCTAGACGAAAATTACATATTGTGCCTTTAACATGATTCCAAACCGGACAGAAATAAAACTGAATCCATGACAGGATGGGGGACCTGACAGGATTGAAATAAAGAGCCAAACATTTGCTTTTGCTCAGTGAGTTAGCTTACAGAAGAGTGTCAAGTGAATCCTTCTGAACAGCATTTGAAACTTTGATAATATTATAGGTTACAGGTTTTCTGTAGCTTTAACAAACAGAAAGGAATGTTTAAAGTGAGACAAAGCAACTAATACTTCAACACCAAATCACAGAACATAAAATGTCACCAATGTCATCATCATCATCCATTATATTAAGATTATTTATTAATATTATTATTATACATAAGATTAATAAGATTATGTGTGTGTACATCTGAAAATACACAGCATATATAGGCTATATATATATATATATGATATTGTTCCACGATTAATACGAGTATAATGTCAAATATAAAAGTATCCATCATGCTACCTACTCAAAACAGTTTAACACTAAATCTGTGCTCACATAGTAAGGAGACCATTTACTAAAACGTTACCAATTAAAACAATTATGAGGTGAGTGTTTCTTAGCGAAGGACTCCATCCAGTGGTGTTTATTAGACAGTGCTTTTCGCTCAGATGATCTCAGTTGTGTTATTTGTCATTTGATTGAGCTTCCTTCGACGTTCCTGTACCATCTCCTGGTGCTCCTCGTTAGTCTGGTGAAGGCTGTTATATATAATTGTAGTATTAACAGTGGAATGCAGAGATATTGCGATTTACACCAGAGTGCAGTAGAATACTGAATAGCCTAATGCAACGAGAGCATGCTGCTATTTTCAGCGGGGTGCAAATAGCGTCTACATTTGAAAGCTTTTAGTCTTTATAGACCTGAATCATGAAATAATGAGACTATTTCTTCATATTGTGCACGGAAGTAAATGCATTTTCAAATAGGTTACTTTTAGATAGCATTTGGTAATGATGTATTATATGATCTCTCTCTCTCTCTCTCTCTCTCTCTCTCTACACACACACACACACACATACACACACACACACACACACACACGGAAGCCACAGAAAATCACAGTTTAATTTCATTTCATTGATTACTGACTTGAAGCCTCTCAGCAGTACATGCACCACTCTCACCATAGTTTTTCCACACACACACACACGGAAGCCACAGAAAATGTGTGTGTGTGTGTGTGTGTGTGGAAAAACTATGGTGAGAGTGGTGCATGTACTGCTGAGAGGCTTCAAGTCAGTAATCAATGAAATGAAATTAAACTGTGATGTAACTACAGCATCTGGTTGAAAAAAGCATCTTACAAGCCATGTACTGCGCCATGTACAGGTGCATCTCAATAAATTAGAATGTCATGGAAAAGTTCATTTATTTCAGTAATTCAACTCAAATTGTGAAACTCGTGTATTAAATAAATTCAATGCACACAGGCTGAAGTAGTTTAAGTCTTTTTTCCACGACATTCTAATTTATTGAGATGCACCTGTATTCTGATG